GCTCTCCTTTTTCTAGAAGCTTGAGGTTCAGCATCAGGTTGTTTAATTGGGCTCACTCTGTTTTCCTGATATGAGTATTCATTGTTATGAATTTCCCTCGCAATACTGCTTTCATTGTGTCCCATAGATTCCAATATGTTGTATTGTTATTGTCATTTAATTTTAGGAACTGTCTGATTTCTTCTTTAATTTCCTCTGTGATCCATTGGTTATTCAGAAGTATGTTGTTTGATTTCCATGTGTTTATGAAATTTTTGCAGTTTCTTTTGCTGTTGATCTCCAATTTCATCGCACTGTTGTCTGATAATGTACAGACGATAACTTCAGTTCCTTTGCACTAACTTAAACATGTTCTGTGAGCGAGTATGTGGTCTCTTTTTGGAGAACAACCTGTATGCAGCTGAAAAGAATATATATTCTGATTTTGTGGTGTGGAATACTCTGTAAATATCTGTTAAGTTCATTTGTTCAAGAGTTCAATTGAGTTCTAGTATTTCATTACTTATTTTTTGTCTAGTTGATCTGTGTGTGACAGTGGGGTGTTGAGGTCCCCCCCTACAATTGTATTAGTGCATATATGACTTTTCCGGTCCATTAGTTATTTGTTTTATATAGTTGGGTGCACAAGTGTTTGCTGCATAGATATTTATGATTGTCATCTCTTCCTCTTGGATTGTTCCCTTTACAAGGATGTAGTGTCCTTCTTCTTCTCTCTTAATCAGGGTTGGTCTGAAATCTAATTGATCTGCAAAGAGGATAGCTACTCCTGCTTTTTTGGGGGTTCCTGTCACATGAAGTATTGTTTTCTACCCTTTAAGTTTCAGTCTATGAGTTTCTTTTTGAATGAAGTGTGTTTCTTGTATGCAGTATAGTGTTGGATTTTGCTTCTTGACCCATTCTGCCAGTCTATTTCTTTTGATTGGTGAATTGAGACCATTAACATTGATGGTTATAACTGATACGTATTGACTTCTCATTGTCATGACTTTTTCTTTTTGTTGGATTTTTCCCCCTTTACATTTAATTTCTTGTCACACCAGATGGATTCATTCTGTTGGGCTTCCTGGAGTTGTGATCCTCATTGTTTTTTCCTTAGATATTGTGTAAAATTTTTTGGAGTCCTGGTTTGGTATTCATGAAGTTCCTAAGGTGCTCTTTGTCATGAAAGTATGTTATTTTTCCCATCAATTTTGAAAGATAGTTTTGCAGGGTACATCATTCTGGGTTGGAGGCTGTTTTCCTTAAGGGCTTGGAATACATCACTCCAAGCTCTTCTTGCCTTGATGGTTTGTGTTGAAAAGTCTGCTGTGATTAAAATGGGCTTTCCTTTGTATGTGATTTGTTTCTTTTCTCTAACTGCTTGTAGAACTTTGTTCTTCTGTTGTGTTTCTGGAATCTTAACAATTATAT